CCCCCCCCCGGGCGCGGCTAGCCTTAGCCGCTGAGTGAGCCAAAAAATAACCCCCGCACATTGGTGTCCTTGGAGGCGGCTCCCGTGTGGTGCCGGCTAGGGCTGCCGGTAATCAACTTTTATTGCTCAAATAAATAGCCTTTATACCTACCTCTCTCTTTTTCGAATAAAAAAATAAGGAGTCCACGCTATATTCAACGATATGTTGGCAGCTTCTGTTTGACACTTTCTTGTATCAGTTTCTTTCTTGTTAATACGAAATTATAGCATCACATTTTCTTTGTTTCCTTTTGTAGAATTCGCGATACTTTGGTGCTCACCATGAGAATGTTCCAAAGCAAGGTATCATACAAATTCTTGCAGTTCTCAAGTTCTTACCCATTTCAATTTTTGACAATTGTACAGAGTGTTTGGTTGGGGATATAGGGGTAGGAATGGAAAATGGTGTCTGGTTTGATGCAATGCAGTGGGTCATTACCACATACTGGATGATGAATCATTCGTCAACAAATTAGGGGGAATGAAACTCATTCCCGCTTCCATTTCCATTCCCCGATATTCCCATTCCCTAAAATCGTCAAATGGACAAATTTTGGATGAGGGAACTATATAAGTTTTTGTACACATATATACATGATTTAGAAATGTAATTTTTTTGTTTCATTTGTTAGATTGGAACCCCTATCATCAAGACTTCCAACCATCCTCCATCACCAATCTCATCCTCAACTTTAGGTTATTTTTCTTCAGCAAATAGCGATAGGAGTTTCGGGTAATTCTATGTAAATCCAGTATATGATTAGAATGTTACCACGCTAATATATTATATATTTCTATAGAAGATTTGCCAGGAATAGAAGGCTTCCAAATAATTGGGGATGCCAAACCGGGAGGTAAACTTTTATGTTGTGGATATTCGGTGCGTGGGACCTCATCATGCATGATTGCAGTAAGAAGCTTCTAGATGCAGATTTTCAGCTAAAATATTGCATTATTCCTATGAACTATGAAGTGACTGACACATCGTTATTTGTTTGCCTCTGTGTTAGTGGGTTCATCACCTTCTGGATGGCACTTCGGAGTACATTGAGGGTAAGTTTCTAAGAAAACCTATATGCCATTGACTTCAATTACCTAATGTCTCTGTTTGAAACCACTTGACAAGCCCAGGTGGGCCACACCTAATGTCTCTCTTCATTATTTATGATAATATGTCGTATATGGGATGCACCAAATGGAAATTATTGCAACTTATAAAGGGATGGATGACCGGGGTAATTTTTTACATCAATAGTTGAAGGGAATTTCCTAGAGAAAATGATGAAGTGTATCCTAATCTGATTTTCGGGAGCATCTTGAAGTGCCATAGCTTTCTTGAAAATTTTGTTGGGCTTGATAGTTTGGTGTTTTTGATCCACAATTTTCCATGGCACAGGAGCTACAAATCCAGAATATGTAGTTACAGCTGATGATGTCGATAAACTTATTGCTGTTGAGTGTATACCAATGGATGACCAAGGCCGTCAGGTATTACATGATCGTCCTGTATTTACTTGTTTACAGGGTTAGTTAAGATTTTGTGTGCATTGGTTTTGCATAATGCTAATTGTGAATGCATTTTTTCGGTTATTTTTCTGATTCAGCATGGATGGGTGAGACTTTTTATCTCATTATGTGGTGTACCTATATGCCAAAGCCTTCACATTATCGTACAAGTAATTCATATCCGTATTTCTGTTTAACAGTTCAGATCTTAGCTGTTACGTAGTATCAGAGCTAAGGGCCTGATGATGAAAACCCTATCGGCCTATCCCCCATCCACTAGGCCCACCACAGCTGCCATTGGAGCCACCAATCACCACTACCAGTGTCACTGCTTCACTCACCGTAACCCCACTCCAACAACTTCTGACAGTGGCAACAGGCTTATTTTCTGCCAGGTCTTGCTCCTTTATTTCAGGAGTACTTTTTTGGAGGTCATATCACCAGCACATCTCATTAGAAATCCCTCATCAAAAGGCTCATATTTATTCATTTCACTCACTTGTGTGTCAGCTAGCCGGAAGGTACTTGAGTGAAATTTTGTAGAAAAACTTGGAAATGAAAAATGGACCTAAACTTATTATGAAATGCACTTGTATGTTTAATATGCTGTCTATTTGATAAACTATTGTGGAATAAAACATAGATCGAATTAGTTGAAATAAATGCAAGTGTTAACCAGATTATTCTATACCACCTCATTACAAGAGGTGATAAGGGTGAATGTAACACCCTAGTTTCTTTATTTGCTAAATCTCAATGTTTAAGCCTTAAATACAAGATTTTGTAAGTAAATTAAGTACTCTTAAAAGAGTCCAACAGCTGTAGCATTTATCAACTATCATATTTGTAAGGCAAGTAGCTTACAAAGCTACTTATAAACAAACAACATGAGCCACAAAAATTTTATGACAAAGCAAGCGGCCTACTCTTTATGACAAAGCAAGCTAGTTATGAGTTGTCAAGGCTAGAAGCATGTGTTGGCAAAAATCATGATGACAAGCAAGAGCTAGAAGCATGACAAATAAAAGCTAGAAGCATGAGGTGTCAAGATTCTCTTATCCTCAAAAATGAGGTGTTAAACTATCATAAGAGTACAATTTTGGGAGCAAGAAGAACAAGTAGCTAATGCAATGAACTTACCTATAAATAGTGATTGAAGTGTTATCACTAGTTCTATACCAAAAACAATAAATCTCTCTCTTTATACCTAATCAAGCTTGAAGATAGGAATTAAGGGAAAAGATAGGCATAATCAAGGTGAGTACGTTATGAGATTTACTAGGATACATACATGCTATATATATAAATGTTTGATGCATGAAAAGTATTGCCATATCTTCTTGTAAAAGTTATGTTATGATTATGTGGCAAAGTACACCTTTTATGCCATGATGCACATGTGGTATATGAAAGTTTTTATACATGTTAAGTATAACCATTTAAATATCGAACGTACGGGATATAGAAAGAAGGTACGTCTTGCAAACGGATCTTATTGGGCAGCCCTTATGTGGACCCGAGGTTAAAGAACGTGTGAGAAGCTGGTTTACTTAACATGTAACCATGAGATCTCAAAGAAATGTTTTTATACATGAAAGTTTATAAGAATTATGTTAACTATTTGGAAAGAAGGTTTTATCATGAAACCATAACTACTCACTAAGCTTAAAGCTTACGTGTTCATGTATGTATCTCAGGAATCAAGGAGTAGGAACAAGATGAAGTGTTGCTATTATAAGATGTTAGAATATTATAAGTTGTAAATTCCGCATTTTCGCTGCTAGTTATTATAATGAAATAAAAGTTTAAGATATGAAGTTCCTTTCATTCACTTGTACTAAGGGCAAAGGACAATACCCCCGGGAACGCGATGTTACAAATGGTATCAGAGCATTAGTTTAAGTGAACTAAGATTGCCTTAGATTAGGTAACTTAGACTTAAATCGAGGAGGATGACATTGGGTATTAAAGCATTATATTTAAAATAACTAACATCTATCTGAACTCCATCAAATTATTTCGCTAATTTCTTATCCTGGTCGATATAACCTTATGGGATAGTGTCTAGAAAGGAACCCGCTGAGTTGCTGACTTCAACAAAAAAAGAAGTTGCATATTGTAATTGCACCGAACAGATCCTAGCTCCCGTGATACCGGCCTGGCTATTTCATATTGGTAGTCAGATGGATTAGTAAGAAATGTTGATCTTATTAAAATAAAAGAGTTGTGGTGTAAGAGAAATAGATTACAAACTCGCATAACCTTAAAATCTTAAGACTTAAGAATTTATACTTTGATGGAATACTTCACTAAGAGTTTATTCTTCGATGAAATACTTTTGTAAGATTTCCTTTATTACGTTGGAAACTCGTGATCAAATATCAGCTAGTTAAGTAGTATGTGGGATGACAATTAAATGATCATGCTGATCAAGATTAGCTAATTTAAGCTTGGGAGACCTTTCCCGCAAATAAAGCCACGTGGGAAGTCGCCTGGAGCCCTGGATCCCTCTTTTTTCACTAAATTTTGACCTTTAACCATCCCAAACACACAACATGGTGATAAAATGCAACTAAAACACTAAATTTCAATAATTACCGTTGAATCCAAAATGATTTTCCCGAATTTCTAAATTCAAGATAAATGAATAAAAATACGGGTGTTACAGAATGATGTTAGATGTCGGATGGAGTTATTCGTTTCTCGAAATGAAATCTTGAATAACTAGCAACTGCAGCTATTACATTCATGGTTACCATGTTAGGTTTGATTATCATAGCATGTATAGCATTAGGGGGAGCAAAAAAGGAGATATAACAATTAACAAACAAATGTTTGGTGTTAGACTAAGTCAACTAGTCTAGTTTATATTATTAATATTGTCTAGGGTCCAAAGTGTAATTAGTTTTACCTATATAAGGTGTATCAGATTATTATTATTTTTCAATCAATACAAATCAATATCAAGTTTAATATTTGGAACTTCTATTTCTTGGTGGTATTATCATATGTATGTATTTGTGTTCAATATTATGTTTTATAGCTTTAGGGTCTCCATGCCTTATCGAATTAGTTCATTACATCTCCTTATGTTTTCATTTTGGTTAATATAAATACTCTTTTTCGAGAAAATATTTACTTGGTAGTAGAGGCTCTTGGCCAAAACACTAGCCCCATCCAATAACTAGTAGGACAGGTGCTCCTTGTTGCCATCGTGTGTGAAAGGTAGACAAGTTTTCCCCTTGGATCTCGGGTTTCTTGGGACCTATGAGATCATTTGATGTTTGTTTTGGTGGATATACAACCTTTACGCTGATGCTACCACCTCGTGTGGGAGATAGGGCTTGTAGTAACTGCTACAAGATCTCTCGATTCTCCTTCAGCGTGCTCGATCTACCTATCTTTCTGAGTTTGATTGGTTTTGCTCCAGCTGACCTTATCATTGAATTTTTTGAGAGATATGATATGCTATGTTGTACTGTATCCATGTTTCAGCCCATTGGGTACTCTGTATATTTCCATACTTGGTGATGTTGGAACACACTTGGTGATGTTACTTATCTTGAAACTTTATTGTCGTCAGGGGAAAATGGTCCGACTTTTTGCCAACGAGCAGAACAAAATAACGTGTGGTAAGTTTATTTGGTTAACAACTTCAAATTAATTAGATTAATTCAACTGTTGAAATTTCGTACTTTTTACAAGTGAATTAATAATTCTGTTGAAAAGTAGAATTTCCTGTTTTCTCTTCCTAAACTTTTGAAATATGAAAATTTGCAGATCCAGAAATGCAACAGGAAATAGACAAACATATGATGGTCGGTCAAGCATCATTTAGTATTTTGCTGCTGGTACAGTTTCTTGCACCTTAAAGTTTGTCCTTGGGTGTTGATACGTTCTTTTTTTCTTATAGAGTGATCAACATTTCAATACATAGTACTTCACACAGTTTCTGAACAATCAAATTCTTTTGGAGACACAAAAAAGGAATGGGGAAAAGCAAAGAAAACGCTCCTTGATGCCATTTCCTGCCAACAACAGTGTTACTTTCAATATTTTTGTCAACTGGAGTGTTCTTTTTGTATTTTGGCAAGTTTGTTGGTTGTTTAGAAATGAATTTTCAAGTATGTCCGAGAGGTTAAATTTTCGGTTTTATTAGAACAAATAAGTGAACAAGCAAAATTTTCCTTTATAAAGTACTAGGTTCCAATTTGCTAAAAATTTGCCCTTATAGAAAATATATTACTTGATAGTTCAGGACGCAACAAATATCTCCTTGACAATGATGGATTTTTCTTTTTGTTACAAAAGATGAATGTATTTATGAAAAAGTTCAAAATTAATAGCATTCACTAGATGCAAAAACGATTTCCTTGGTGTTTGTGGCAAGTTCCTTCAAGCTAGCCTTTTGGTTATTTAAACGCAACATTGTTTGATGTCATTTCGGTAGATGGATCTTTCTGAGAAATGGGAGCAAACAACTCTCTCTTTGGAACGATCGAGCTACCAAATAAAGGTCACTCGGACGCAAGATATCATCATCCACGAGAAATATTCCAATGATTTAACGGTACGTAAAATAAAATTTCCATGTGTTACTTAGACATGAAGATGCTTAAGCTAATTGGATGATCAATTTCTTTACTCGCCCCTTTCTCATGAAAATTGCATCGTTTGAAGTAACACTGTGGTTTAAGGATGTGTTCAACTATTGAATGATTGACTTCCCAAAAATATTGGCTTTTATTGCAAACAGACCACTGTTTAAGCTATTTTTGGGCAGATAGTATCGAGTATGATGGGTTTTTCAGTCCTTCACGTTTTCGTAACTTGTCTGCATCCTCTCATTGTTGCAAGCAATAGTGTTCCTATTGCAATTTCACTAGACAAAATTTTGAGAATCTTTATTTTTTACAGTGACGGTTTCAATTTTTAATTTTAAGGGCAAAATGCATCAAAATGCAACTATTTACTATAACAAAGAAATTATTCTTTTCTCAATTGATGTAGGCTTAGCTCCCAGGTTGATGGATCAAATTTTGTACCCATTTTGACCATGTAACATTTCAGGACGTGGATGTCAAGTGTATTGTCCACTTCGACATAATCCTTCCGTAACCAGATGTCCACATCATCAAATGTTACAAAATCATCACATTATCGGTCAAAATGGGTAAAAAATATGGATTTTTGGAACTTTATTAAATCGATCGAGAGAAGAATTCGTTGTTACACTAAACAATTACTAAATTAAACTTTGTTGCATTTCGCTATAATTTTAACTTAGAAAGTTGCCAAAAATGGAGATTGTTACAATTTTCATGGGAAAGATGGGAGTATTAAAGTATAGGAGGTTTGATTGAAGCATATTTTACAAGACACTCTACAGGCTAGTTCGAACCACACAATTATTGAGGATTCAGTAGATTGTTTCTGATTTTGATAAATTGTCGTATCTCTCATGATAATGCTGCAGATCAAAATCCCTTTGGGACTTGCTACTCAATTTGTGTTGACGACGATGTCTTTGAATGGTTCTTCACATTCTTTCGATACATTCAATGATGTTCGGTAATACACTGGCTTCACATTCTTATTCACTTGAGGTTTCTAACTTTCTTGTTCCAAACAAAGAGGTACATTTTTGACTTTTCAGGTCAAACAAAAACTACTTTTCGTATTTGAAATTGATTCCAATTGTTTTAGCGTTCAAGGGAAGTTTGATACCTACACTGATCTTTATGATAACCACTACAAACTAAAAAATGTTTATGCGAGTTTGTAACAAGTATATGTATCGAAATTTGAATTTGGAAAGTAGTTTGTTTGACATCAATAGTCAAAACATATCCTTTTTCACTTAAAACTTTTAGAATTGGCCTTGCTATATTCAACAATACGTTGGCAGCTTCGGTTTGACACTTTATGTAGCAGTCTCTTTCTTGTCAACACGAAATCATAGCATTGTTTCCGTTTGTAGATTGCGTGATACTTTGGTGGTCACCATGAGAATGTTCCAAAGCAAGGTATCTTTCAAGTCATTTTCCTGCACTCCTATTCCTATTCCTATTCCTATTCTCATCCTCGTTTTCATTCCTTGAAATGAACCAAGCGCCTTCTTAAACTGTTCTATATCAACCTTCCAAAAAGGGAAAGTTATTTAACATGCTCTCTCCCCCTTTTTTCTCGAATAGGCATTGGAAGACAAAAGGAAGTCAAAAGCATGAAGCTTATATTCTTCAATATAGATACAAGTGTTATATATACTCATTCTTTGTAGAAATGAAGTAAGGAACAATAGAACTAGTTTTAAGAAGGTTTTGTTGTTGTAGATTGGAATCGATGAGTAAGAGTGCGAACAAGGATGTGTTGGTTTACATCTGTGTTTGTTTCTTGTTGATTTTTTGCTTTATGTAAAAAGTCAACAGACTGTTAAGACTCTTTGAGTATAAAATGATCTTCTTTATCCGTATATTTTATACAAAAATAGTTAAAATGATGTGAGCAAATGGAGCATGAGTTCTACTCCTTTCTTGTACTAAACCTATAGAAGAAGATTGCTTGTATCATCGAGTTGGAACGTGTGTAGGTTTTTCGTTTGCCCAATTCTTGATTTGTTGTTTTGTCCTTAATCATCATCCAATCCAATCTTTTGTATATTGTATATTGTATATTGTTCATTAGATTTATTTTCAATTTGTCATTTGATTTTAAAATCATCTAATCATATATATATATATATATATATATACATATATATATATACATATATATATATATATACACATATATATATATATGATTAGACTAGCCTGATTTTGTGAGACCATTTTTTTAGAGTTTGGGGTTTAGTGCACATCAAAATGTTGTGAAAGTAACTTTGATATGCATTTTGTTACACTTGAAACAAAAGTAAGTTACAAATTCGTTTACACTCTCTACTCGCAGTGATCCTAAATCAAAATAAATGCAGATTTGGTACCCTTGATATGCATTTTCACACCTATTGAGTCCCTCCCTCTAAAGAAATCAAAAGATTTTGTTAAACAAGTTAAGTCCAAGGGTATTTTAGTTTTCTTAAAACGTTTTTTTCCTTTACCTTGTTAATATATATATATATATATATATATATATATATATAATATAGTATAGATATAGAAAAATAACTTTTATTTCTTTAATATCTATATTATATTACAAAGTATTTGACAAAAACTCTTATTAAAAACAATTTTTTATGAATAAAGTATTGTTTATTGATACATATTACTTAAAATTCAAAATTACAAGTATAATATGCATGGGTACATTTTATTAGAGTTCCATGTTTGAATCCGTATAACTAATTATAGATAAACATAATCAAATAATGATAAACATCATTTTAAATATAAAAAAATCTAAAATATAATTAAGATAATTATCGAGTTCTAGCAAAATACTAAATTATTATCTTAAAGAAATTATTTTATTAAACCAAAAATAAATTAGTTCGTTTTTAAAATTCAATTAAATCATAATAAAAAATTGAATAAAAGAAATTACACAAAAAAAAAACTTTTAAATAGTTAATTTGATACTAACATCGCTAGGCATGGCAACGGGGCGGGGATGGGACGGGTTTTGTAATCCCCGGCCCCGGCCCCGGTTTGTAATACCGTCCCCCGGCCCCGGCCCCGGTCCCGGTCCCCGGCGGGTACGGGGATTATCATCTCATCCCCGGTCAAATTCTAGCAATCCCCGATCAAAACTCGGTAAACCCGGTCAAAACCCGGTAAACCCGGTCAAAAGTATGCTTAGTTTGATTATACCGGGGATCCCTAGCCCCGACTCCGGCCCCGTTTTGAGTAACATTCTCCGTCCCCGGCCCCGGCCCCGGGACCCGTTTTAGCGGGGAATCCCCGTCCCCGTTCGGGTCGGATGAACCGGGTTCCCCACCGGGTCTGGACAAATCACCATCCCTAAATATCGCTTATTTTTATCAAAAATTTATGATATCTTTAAATTTATATTTCATTTAAAAATAATTTTTTTTTTCTCAAACACACATAAAATCGCATTATAACATTAATAAACCTAAAATATAAAACGAAACACTCTATTGTACAAATACTCTTAATATCAATTAATAATAATTTTAAATTATTTAATACAATAAAAATAAAAAAGATTGAATTTAACTGAATTAATGGAAGTTTTTTTCGACTTCATGGGTTTGAGATTGCTTATTTAAAATAATTTATATTTTTTTTATAAAAGTGCTTATTAACTTATATAATATCAAATCGAAGTTAAATAAAATAAGGTTAAAATTGTAAACTGGTAATAAACAGTTTTTCGTAAGTCAGAAAAGATGAACTTATCAAAAATAACTTATTATCGATTTGACACCGATATAAACAATTTTTTTCTTATCTAAATACCAAAAAAACAACGATACTAAATTAAAATAAGTTAAAAAACAGCTTTTAAGCAATTTCAAACACTATACGAAAATGCTTATTATTATTATTTTGATTTTGGGACCCATCAAAAGAGGGTTGAAGAGTCCCAAATACCATTCGAGTTCGCGGGCTTCTCCTCTCTCAGTGAAGACATGAACCAGAAGAATCCCTCTTCTCTTCGCAGCTGTTGTATTTCACACGAATTCTGCAAATCAGCTTCCAAAAACCCTAACAAAATCGCAGTTATTCATGCTTCCCCACGCCACCGTGGTGACCGTACTAAATTCGCCACAGGAATCGACCAGTTTATTGAGGCGTCACCGTCTTCAGATCATCCTCCGGTGTACGAAGGAGACGTATGTTTTACTTATTCGGAGATTCTAGAAGCGGTAGATACACTTAGCCGTCGTCTACGGTTCATCCTTGACGGTGGAGTTGATCCTTCTCTTATCAAACCATCTCCAGGTAAATATTTCATAAGTCCATTCATGTGTCTGTAGCGAATTTGGTGAAATCTTTCTCAAAGACACATTTCATCTCTAAATAGTAAATATAATCATCGAAATATCAGCAGGTATCACTAGTTGATGAATTTATTATTCATTATTCAATTGAAAACCTTTCTTCGGCAATTACAATTGCTACATTGTTGATACATCATATATGTAACTATCTTCTTAACACGAAAACAGTATAGTTTTATAAAGTAGCACATATTAAGTCACTGGTATCACAAAAAAGTGAAATAAATATCTAAGATCGACCATAGAAGAAAGTTAACGTGATTGAGTTTTGTTCCTGCGTTGGATGTTGTAGCTGAAATGTTCAATTCGATATACGGGTAGATATGGTACTTGTTGGATATAAAAGGAACAACGTAAAATCATCTAAATCTTAAATAAAAAAATAGTACTGAACATACTATATGGAAATTCTTAACAACAAATTTTAATGTAAATGCAATAATTTAACGTGCAAACTTCTAACTGGCAAACTACAGCTACCAATACCATATGTTTTATAAGAACCAGGCTACCGCCCTTACCTTGAAAAGATCAGGGAGCTACTTGGTATCTCCGGAGTACCACTTGGATTCACCCGAGGCGTATGTGTTGGATTATGATGGTATACTGTAGGTGTGGTACTTCTAGGATCTCATAAGTTGGTTCCTTGAAGTAGGAACATATCTCCGAATTTGAATGATACATATGGACTTTTTTTGGAAGCATATAATACTTATATATAATAAATAATCATGCACACCCCTCACTTTTGGTGAGGTTTGACCCTTGACCCCCTGGGAGGCTGCAATCTACCAGTAGCCCGTCTACCACTGGGCCAATGACCCTTTGGTACACAATGAATTATGTTGGTTTACTGTTGGCTTGATCCTTAATTCACAACTGTTTTTTTTTCTTCAGATCTGCGGCATACGGATCAGTCTGCGAATACCCCAAGAATTGTGGGGATATACATGGTTCCTTCTGTAGAATATATTATATCTGTTCTTTCTGTTCTGAGATGTGGGGAGGCTTTCATGCCACTAGACCCTTCATGGCCAAAAGAAAGAGTATTGTCTGTTGTTTCTTCTTCAACTGCCAACCTTATTCTTTGTGGTTCTACTTCGTTTGATGGAAACTACAGTCACTATATAGACAAATATCATTGGCTTGTTGATGGTAGTGGTTGTCCCGTTCTAATAATTTCCACGAAAACAAACCTTAAGAAGCACACCGCTTCCCCATGTGCGAACATGGCATATCCATGTGGAAACAAGAAGTTGAGACCGTTCTGTTACTTGATGTACACCTCTGGATCAACTGGAAAACCTAAAGGTGTTTGTGGTACTGAACAAGGTGGGAAAAATTTAAATATATATTAATTGAATGCTTTTGCCATTATGTATGTTGCTTGAATTGTGAGAGTAAGACTAACTTCAATACTGTACTGTGGTAACCTTTTAAACATCTAAAGAAGATATGTGGCATTTTCGAAATCATTGGTGTAATGGCAAGTAGAATGAGGACAAGCATGACATATCTCCTTTTCTTCAGAAAAAGGAGTTAAAAAAACATCGTACAATTTGCAATAATAGTTGTTACATTCTTGGGCTTCATAATCTATTTCTCACAGGATAATGGAGCTCACTGCCTTTTCTCCTTTGTCAGCTAATAAATGATATGCAAAAATTTCTATTCAATATTGACAGTAACATGGTGTATAGGTAAACTTCATTAAAGTAACCCTCACAGTGTCAGTATACTGTTAGGGTATGGGCTATTAGTAGTTTAACACTTCTCCATTAAATTAAGTGAATAGTTGAGTGTGAGAATAGTAGTTTAAGAGATTTTCGAAGGGGTCACAATGATTGTATTTTTCTGGAAAGATAATGCCGTTTAAATGTTATGTTTAATCACATGCTAGTTCTTTTGCTTCGGAGATGACTTTATTTGACGTCACTATCTTGCAACAATGTGTGGCTACTACTGCCAACTAGATTTTATTGAACACTTTTGTGCAATTCTTTAGGAAACACCATCATACCTCAATCTTACCATCTAAAACTATGTTGAAATTGTTAGAAGTCTTTAGTGGTTGGAAGCGGACTATAATAAGTTATTGTGTAACTCGTGAAGCACAGTTTGTATACACAGATGTTATCGTTTATATCTTATTATTTATCTGCTTTATTTGGTAGTTCTTTTTCCTTGATTTATAGGTGCACGTTCATGTCTTATTGTTTACCTTGTAAGTTCTCATTTCCTTGTGGACTTTGCATCTTTCAGGTCTTCTAAACCGCTTCATGTGGATGCAAGACATGTATCCCTTATGTGGTGAGGAAACTTTGCTGTTCAAAACATCTGTGGGTTTTATTGATCATCTGCAAGAAATTCTTGGAGGTCTACTTACCACTTGTACCTTGGTTGTTCCTCCTTTCAATGTGCTAAAAGAAAATATACTTTCCATCACCAAGTATTTACAGGTACATTAACACAAAAGTTGATAAATTCAGCCCAATTGAAATGAACAAATTGTGCAAAGCAGTCGACGCCTTTCTGGCAGCAGTGCCTGAAGCAATTCCATTTTCCCTGTTTGCAGGTACATTCATTGCCTTAGATGGCCCTCAATCATTTTGATTTACCAGTGCTTTAAGCATCTTCTAGCTCTCGAGCACAAAAGTAGATAAGAGAATGCTACTAACCAAAGTAATCCTTATAAGCTATTCAGGTTGTCTTTCACGTGTATCTGCATACATGTTCTTAAATATTGTTGTGATGCCTCGGATTGTACTTACCTCACATCTGCTTAAAGTTTGGGTGATAAGTTATTCTCGCAGTGCGAGTGAGGATGAGAGAGGGACTAGGAACGTTTGCTTGGAAAGAGCTGCTCTATGCATTTACCTTTCATCTACTATCCTCACTCATAAGAATAGCAACACTTGACTGGAGTCTGGAGATATAGTTTAACAAAGTTTAACAAAAGTGTTTGACTATTATTAGTCAAACACCTAATATATCATTCATTGGTGAAAAAACAGCCGAATCTTGTGAACCAAATTCAGTACCATTTTATAATTTGAAACTATAAAATGGGCAAGTAGGCTCTTGTAGCTCGAAAACTTGCTAGATGAGAGAACACTGCAATCAACGTGGTATTTTCTGAAATATATACATGTGTGTATGTGTAATTCTCCTTACGTATTCAGTAAGTCAATCTCCCTTGAAAGTTTGTTCTTCATGTTACTTCATTTAGTAATTACTCTTGCATCCTCTATCAAGCTTCATCTCAATTGCAATTGCAATAGCAATATATCATCATTTTGCCTGCCTTGTATTTTTAATTCTAATTTTTTTTCTTAATTCAAATCCCTCTTGGATGGTTTGATGATTGAATGTGAATTTGAAATATGCTTTTAAAAAATTTATTGGGTTTTAAAGTTGTATTATCATGTTTACCACCCAGTGTTTCAGTGATACTTTTATTTGTAAGAATTTCAAAATTTAAGATTATATAGTTTGTAAGATTTTTTTTTTTATAATTCTAGTGGCGTAGGATGAATTAAATCCATACATTATGAAAAGCAAAATCTGAAATTCAGCAGATGATAACTCTCTTTCTATGTTTCTGCGCCATCCATTCTCTACTATTTAAATTATTTTTTTGTTCAAGTGATGTAGGATGAATTAAATAAGTACGTTAAGGAAATTAAAATTTGGAATTCAGCAAATAATAATTCCATGTTTCTTCTGCCTCCATTCTCCATTCTCCATTCTTATCCTTTTTCTCTTAATTACTTGGAAGTTCATTTTATTGGCACTTATAGGCAATATTCTTATATCAATGACATTGTTATTCTCATGTAATAGTATGTTAGCCTCCTAACATTTTGATTACCTGCTACAAAAATGTATTTTGTTTTGAATTATCTGTTTAGAATGTACATTTACTCATGCTTTAGATCTCTCTGTAAACAATAATCATGTATCTAACAAGCCAATTGGGTAAATTACCAAATTTATCGTTGATAAGAAATCTTTTTTTGAAGGGAATATATTCAAATTCTAAAAATACTTAATTTTTTTGGGTTTTGTGTAATCATGGCTGTGTTTTCTGCTTGAAGAGATCATACCCAAGTTCTGCATCGGTAAGAAGCTGGTTTTATTTAACTAAATGTTGTATTTGCAAATCATTGGCAGGACTATTCTATCAATAGGCTTGTTGCTGTACCATCACTGATGAGGATGCTTTTTCCAACTCTTCAAAGTTCATTTAGTACGAAGATTCAGAGCTCTTTAAAATTGTTAGTATTGAGTGGAGAAATCCTGCATTTATCCTTATGGAATTCTCTTGCAAAGTTATTGCCCAACACTGCGATCTTGAATTTATATGGCAGTACAGAGGTGAGTAGAAGATTTTATCCTACAAAAATCAAATTATATATACCGCTTTGACCTTTGGATGCATAGTTTGTGCAATTCCAGTTGCTTTATTGAATATGCTTTTACTTTGCACCCTAGCTCGTGAGGATATATCTGGTAGCTTATTTATCATTTGTTATAATAAGTGAAAGTGTTGTTGTAATAGTCATGGCCACAAATTGTATAACTATATAGATATGGCTGATCAAGCATGTGTGCATTTGTGTATTTACTTCTTACTCTTCCTAATGTATTTAACTTTCAATCTAAGGTTTCTGGTGATTGTACATATTTTGACTGCAAAAGGCTATCGTCACTTTTGGAGGCTGAGGTACTTAGTACTGTTCCAATAGGAGTACCTATTCCCAACTGTAAGGTAGATCTTGTTGGAGAAGACGCACCTAACTATGGAGAAATATATGTTTCCGGATTCTGTATTGCGACAGGATACTTCGATCATGATATTATGCCTCTCAATGATGTAAAGGTGCTTCCAGGATCTACTTTTTGTTGTTCTGCCGATGAAAAAGAAAGCCTACTTTACTTTAAAACCGGTGATTTTGCCAAACAACTTCCTGGTGGTGACTTGATTTTTCTAGGGAGAAATGATCGAACTATAAAGGTGAATGGTCAGCGAATTGCGTTGGAGGAGATTGAAAATACAATAAGAACACATGAAGATGTTGGTGATGCTGCTGTGATATTCAACAATGCTGAAGGAGAAGTTGCATATCTTGAAGCATATATAGTTACAAAACAAGGGCTTGATTGTGTTAGAAGTTTGAGATATTCTCTTCGAGGTTGGATGGTTGACAAACTTCCATTGGCAATGATCCCAAGCCGTTTCTTCTTCATTGAATCAATACCGATGTCTTCATCTGGGAAGGTAGATTACACATTGTTGCCCAGTTCAAGGTGTTCCATGTCAGAGATCTGCAGTGAAATTAATGAGATTCCTGATAGCAATCTCTTGCAAATGATAAAAGAGGTTTACCTTTATCCTCTCTACAACTTACCCAAATGCTTCTGGCTCCCCCCTCCCCACCCCCACAATTTCCAAAACAAAAATCTGTTACCATGTGACACGTTTTATGATATCTCAGCCTTTATTATGATTACTGTATTTGTTTCTAATACTCATGCTGAATTTTGTAAATTTAACAATCCCAGGAATTCTATACTGCAGTTTGAATGCTAATATTTTTGTCCAAGTCTGAGGTCTCAATTTGAACCGCTTCTCAAAGCCCCTTGATGTCGATGTAAATAACAAAAATATATTGGCTGAGCAAACTAAGAAGAAAAATAGGAAAGAAAGGCAACGTTGAATAACATTGTAAATTCATCACTTTCATCCTTCCTGAAAAAATGGTATTTGTTCTGCATTTGATACTTAACAATTGTAAGGATTCACAGTAGTAATGTTTTCATTCCTTCTTTGGTTGTGTTTTAGTTTTCATAGTGATGAATTTACTTGGTCCAAAATGGAAGATGGAATAAATGGGCCTTGTGCATTTTTCTATATGTCTCTTATACCACAGAACAATATTTTATGTTTTACTCATTTAGAATAATATTGCTTGTCTCAGGGTATATCATACATTTTAGTTCAAAGGTTAACCTTATATGCTCAATTTCTTTTTGAAGTATATGGTATCTTTATACGACAAATACTCACACACACACTCACCTTTGGTGAGGTTTTAACCCTTGACCTTCTGGGAGGCTGGGCTCTACAACTCGGATACCTTTCGGCCAACGACTCTTTGGTTCATCAAATTTGTTGTTCATTTATGCTGATGTTTCTATTCTGCATTTGGTCTTGTAGCATATTTCAGATGGACAGTGTATTAACTCACGGAAGTTCATAACTTCGTATTTACATAGTTTATAATAACGCTTGTATAAACTTTAAGCTTTTATAGAACAATTGGATTTAGTGTATATAGATATATCTCCCTCCATCCCAACATAAATGTCCAAAATGGAAAAAGGCACACAGTTTTGGAAATGTTTAATAATTACACTTTTAATTAATTAATTGACAATTTTACCCTTAAAAATGGGGGGAGTTCTCCATCTCATAATTAACGGTGGAATTGGAAAGTAGACACTTATTTTGGGACAATTTAACATAGAAATGTGGACCCTTAGTTACTTTGGCAAGGACGGGGTATATATGTAAATATATGAACTTATGGAACTTTGTGATTTCTTATGATCAGACTAATATAATTTTTTTTCACAGCAGTTAGTGTTTATGTGTGCTTATGCAGGCCTTCTGTGATGCATTGGTGGTTGAAAAGGTGAGTGACGATGATGATTTTTTCGTGATGGGTGGTGATTCTTTTTCAGCAGCTCACACTTCTCATAAATTAGGAATCAACATGAAATTGTTGTATGCTTTTCCTAGTCCATTGAAGCTGGTAATAGCTCTCCTGGATCAAGGACAGCAGAATCATGATCGTAAAAGAAGTGTTCACTCTAGAGTGGATATGGAAGTGTTGGGAGCGAGCCGACCACTTCCTATCTTATCTGAAGTTTCTGATCTGAAAACAAAGAAGCTACATGGTAGGTTATCTCGCAAACTTGGTGAATCTGATGCTGAGTATTATCCTAGCAAGGTTATCAGGATGGATGATGATCTGAATGTTGATAATATTGCAACTGGGGATGGCAATACTTGGGACTCCATCTCAAAGCACACATCTTGTGCCTTTAGTCGTTGTAACAAAGTAATGTTCGGGGAGAAGCTTGACATCAATAGATCATTTCAAGCAACATTGTTCCATGAAACTCTTGGTGACAAAAAAACTTCTATGAGAGAACTGTGGAAAGTTCACATGGAGTCTTGCGTTGATGCATCACCACTCATTGTAGTGAGAGAAAAGGATATCTACGTATACATTGGATCTCACTCACAGAAATTTATTTGCATGAAAGCCCCAAGGCAAGTGTTTATTTCCTCAATCGTTACATCCAGTACCTTATTTAGAAGTAGTAGATGATTGTGTGATTGCTCAATCCTATAGAATATAATGTGCAAAAGAGGCGTTAGATAGACTATGCTTTTGGTTGTCAAGAGGATCACCATTTCTTTAACCAACAGAATCTTGAAGTTGGAAGCATGGACATCAGAAAATTGTTCATATTGCATTACAGGCCCATCCTTCACATTGTTTCTTGTAATACCTCTTAGGTTTTATTCCAGTCTAGTGACCTTTGTAGAGCATGAGCTTTATGTTACATTATAAACCTTTATTAAACAAAAATCTGTTCATTGTTCTAGTTTTTTAGGCTTGAGTGGTTATCACAGTGCTGCGAATTGTTATACTTTTGGTTGGCTGTGGTTAATTAAATATTAGTATCCAAAATACTTGTTTGCTCATAAAAATAAGCTGCTTTTTATTGATTCGTTTAATCACGAGTTGTACAGTGGTTTTGTCCAGTGGCAGGTACAATTAGAAGGAAGAGTAGAGAGCTCAGCTGCAATTTTGGGAGACTTTTCTGAGGTCGACTTATACTTCAGCAATATCATATATTCTTTTTTTCATGGTTTTCAAAATCGTTTCAGGCGTACGCCTTGAGGCAAGGCGGTCCAAAACCGCTCATGAGGCGGCACCTCATGGTCTCTGGACGAGGCTTAAGCCTCAATTGCGATGCTGTGCCTTGAGGCGTTTCTGAGGTGCATGCCTCAGTTTGCTGCTGCCTTGATTCGTTGAAAAATAGGTACCGGATGAGGTGAGAATAAAAAAATTACTTAAAGTTTTTCTAAGTGAAGTCAATCACTCGATTGCACTTTTATAATATAAAAGTACAAAGAAGCCTTTTATAGGACGTACTTTTATCTTATCAATCAAAAACAAAAGTTACCTTTCATTTCCTAATCCTACTTTCGTCTTCTTCTCCTACTTTCTTCTCAGATTTTCTTCTCCATCCATTTTTTTCTTCTCCATTTCTTACCTTTTTCTCTCTCAAGAAGATATTCTCTCAAGAAGATATTCATCTTAAAGGCAAACTTGATCATGCTACCGGGAACTATTAAGTTGTAGATTGATATGTTTTTAGACTTATAACTAGTGATTTTATGAATCTATGACATTTAAAGTTTGGTATGGAATTATGTTCTGCTTACTATTAATATATATGAATTTTATTTGTTTTATGCCTCGAGGCTTGCGCCTCGGACCGCCTTGAGGCTTACGCCTCAGGGCGTGGAAGGAAAACGCCTCGAGTTCCGATTCCGCTTTTGAAAACCTTGCTTTCATTATATATATGTATTTTGACAAGGGCAGTTAGATTTTAGGTTGTAGTTGGGTGTTACAAAGGGAACATATATTTTCTCAATTCGTTGAATGGAAGCATCAGCTGGACTTTCCAGACAGGTGGCGAGGTATATATTCAAGCAACAAGCACTTCACATAATATGTTATGTGTACATTTGTGTAATCATTTCAATTAGTTTATCATTTTATTTTATCGGCAGTACTATTTCTTTTACTTTTTTATTTAAATAATTGTTTTATTAAATTTTGACATGTGAGAGACAGTTACAAAAGTTATTGCAGTTATTTTTACTTTAGTGCACAAGCTAAAGCACAGTTGCAAAGGGCAACCATGTGAGTGTTGACTTGCCAATGTGTGGCAATATGCTGCAGAAGAGAGCAATAGAGAGAGAAGAGAGGTTTCCTTACTAGGATATTCAAGGTAGGTATACATTGTATTATTCTGGGTGAATAGAGGAATCAGTTTGGTTATAGGAGTAAGAAAGAGTTTGCACTTTATCCTCTCAATTAATGAAATAATTGTTCTCTGTTGAACTTAGGTAGTACTGTGCTGAACCTTGTAAGTGTGCTTCCTTTTTTTTTCCTTGTAATTATGTGATTTTCTATCTGCTGCATCGGGCTGTATATAAAAGTTATTGCAGTTATTTATGTTGGGTGTTCATTCTAGTGTCTAGCCCCAAGAATTGTTTAACAAATCATTCTAAATGTCTTTTGAAGGTAAAGTCACAACCGGTGGTAGACAAGCAGAGACATCTGGTCTGGTAAGGTTCACTTTTGCAGACCCTATTATTTTATAATGCATTGATTCAATAGTGTATGGGTTATGGAGCGCTTAAGTGTACTGGTTTTTCTCTGTAGCCTTACCCTTGCAAGCACAAAGGTGATATCGGCAGTTTAGTAACCATATGTCCCCACCATAGAAACAAAGACTTGCCTTTAGAGAGTGTTGATAACTAAAGCCAATCATTATTCTTTGCAACAAAAAGACAATGGGGATTTTCACATAAGTAATGATCCAACTCTACCAACCTTTTTTGAGGAAGAAGTCTTTACTCCTTACTGACTTATAACCACCTTAAGCATTAAACACCATGAAGTTTATTCCATTCAAACCAAACCAAACTGCATTTGCAAGCACCTGCAGTGCAAATAAAGCTGTTTTGGGTTCAATCTTCACTTCGGTCCAGCTTTAGTAATTCATGTCTAGAAACTGCAGAATTTGATTAGTTCCAACATCTCCAAGAATTCAACTGAAGGTCATGGAGGTCAGGTCTAGAAATTAAGAGATTTGATTAGTAATAACAAAAATTTGCTTCTTCCTGGTTGAATTGACACCAAGTTTTCCCCTATTGGATGAATATTCTTTTCTAAACTTCTAAACTATTTATATTCTACGATGTACAGGTGTGGATCTTATGACCATAATCTCTATGCCCTTGATTATCAAAGTCGCTGTTGTGTCTATAAGCTACATTGTGGTGGGAGTATATATGGGTCACCTGCAATCAATGAGGTGAATTTGGTTAATCACATGTTGTATCAACTTGTCTGTTCCATATGCAAAGTTGTCCTTCATTTCTTTAATCTTGTAATGCAACTGTTCCCATTCTACTTCTGCACATCCTTAATTACTTGCTTATATTACATATAACTTTGTTTCTTTTATTGATTTTGTAGGTTGATGAAACGCTTTATTTGGCATCAACTAATGGCTGCATGACCGCATTATCTTTAAAGGTATAGGCACCATTCAAAATTGATTTTGCTATGTTACATGGTCCTTTGTGCGTGCATACCCGTCAAAAACTCGATTAGTTGCATACTCTTTCTACCTGAGGAAAATGCACTTTGGCCAGTGTTAGGCCAACATAATAATGGGAGAATGTATATTCGATCAATTTAAGCCTAACAGAACTCCAAATTTAGGAATAAACGAAAATTTGTGACTGTGAAACAAGGATGTCTAATATGTGACCTGAGAATGTGTGTGCATTCTTAGGAGGATACTGTGGAACGTGATTCAGATTTCAACTTGCAATAGAAGTTGAACAAAATTGTAATCTGATCTGTAGCGAACTACATCACATAAGTAGATATGCTCCATACTTGATGCAAGGATCGTCACTTTCACTCCATTTAACATGCACTTGTCTATTTTATGTTAAATTAGCTATGATATGTACCATGTCCATTCATTGATTGTAGCACCAATTTGAGTTGCTCAGGCTTAACTTCTCTCCTGAATGTTTTAGCTGTCTGTTGCTGCCTCGAGCTACTGCTAAGCTATTATTTGTCTGCCAGAGACACTCCAATTTATTATTAGATAGCTGTAACGGTCTGTTTTTTGCTTCATCAGCTTAATGGCTGATATGCTTCGTGTTTGTTTTTCGCTTACTGGAAATGGCTAAATTGGATAAGCCATCATGTATCTGCTGTTCACGTTAAGAGAATCTTATTCCAGACAGGTTTTAATAGAAAAAAAGAACAAAGAGCCCCAAAAATTGTCTTTTCTGTTTCATGGTAACTTCAGCTGGATAACCTCGTACGGTTGTACCCTGTATCACCAGTCACATTCTAAGATACGTTTTTCTGAGAAAGTAAGTAGGTTGAAATGAACATTTACCTACCAAGCATCTTCCATGAACACATCTCTTTTATAGATGTCTCTGATGAGATTAGGTAATGACATGTTTCTTTTTTCCTTCTAGTTATTAATTAGTGTATGGTTGAAAACAGCGATCCACTGACTAATTTTTCTGTATAAAGAAATATGAAAACAGTCTCTGTATGAGGGGCTAGGTTCATATTTCCAACCCCAGGCAGGTGGTGCAATCCAAGTGTGAACTTCATTTTCTTTACTATTTTTTTATCTTCTAATAAATTTTCGTGCGAAATATAATTCATAATGTAGCTATCGAAGAGAATTTCAGTCAGGTTATACAACTGTCTTTTTACTAATTTTGTTCACATGTATAATCATAATGAAGCCATCTGAGGTTCTGAATTTCAGTTCATCCTTCAGATGCAGGTTCTTCAAATGTGTCATCAAACTCTACTCTAATTCTATAGAGGATGTGGGTTTAGGGTTTAGGAGATGTATGTTTTGTTTTCTCTCTTTAGTGGAAGATTGGCAGTTAGTGAGATCCGAATGCTCACTTCTCTTCAATATAGAATCACAATTGTTGGTTTGCATCGTATGTGAAGTCAAGTGGGGCTTTTCTCCTGCTGTTAAGTCTTAACAGTCCTTGAAACAAATATGGAATTTTATTTCTATTTCGATTGTATACTTCATCCCAACATTCACCAGAAGGGACCTGGTATCATTTAGTTCATAAGCTACTTGATGGGTTATTTATCTTTTTCATGCAGGATGTGCCATTCAGTGTGTTATGGTTGCAAGACCTGGGAGCACCCATATTTGGTTCTCTCTCAATTGATCACATTAATGGAAATGGTATCTGCAGTTTTCTCTTCTTATTTAACTTCTTATCTGCATCATCTGTAGGAAGTTTGAAATACAAATTGTACAGAAGGTAAACCAATTTTTCTGTATTACCAAATGAGAAGAAATGTACAATGTCATATATTACTACTAGGTAGCTACTTCTGGAAACTCTCTAAAGTAAACTAGAAAGAACACAAATAATCTACATTTATCTAACCCCCCCCCCCAACCCAAGTTGGAGCATATATATTAATCATGCCCAACAGCTACAAAGATAACCAACCCGAACCCCATTTAAAGAATTCATGAACATGCCCTCTATCTGTTCTCCAGTCTTAACAACCGTGAAGAAGTTGCTTCTCTAATTTTCGTTGAGCCAGAATTCTTTATTATCAGAGCAGTTTATTCCCAATGGTTCAGTCTGATTTATATTTGATTTGCTTCTCTTCATACCAAATTTTTGAATGATTGTAAAATGGATTATTCATGCATGTCCTAGAGTCCTTGTCTGTTGATAAAGCATCAATAATATATCTTGACTTTTGCAGTCATTTGTTGCTTGGTGAATGGACATATTGTGGCTGTTGATGCAACTGGATCCATTGTTTGGAGGGTAAGATTCATCCTCTCTGGAATCTTCATATGTTCTCTTTTACGAGGATGATTCATATTACTAGTGGATATTTATATGCGATCTAGTGAAATGTTATATAACAGAAGAAGAGATGGGTACAATATGGTTTATCTGTATAATGGGATAACACCATCAACCACAAAAAACTGACATTCTATTAAGTAGATAATTGCAGCAATTGAATGAAAAAATCGCTTATTGCAAGCACAAAATCACATTAAGACCTTTTGCGGTTAATCAAACCTTAATCAGTAGAGATGAGATGTTGATGGCTATTCGACTTTGTTTTTTGCAAGCACAAATTGCATGAAGACCACTTATGAGAAACTGAAAGGTAATTTATTCTTGTCGTAACTCCAACCTTTTCAATGGTGATGCTGACTAAGTGCTAGTTTTTAGGCATGTAGGACCAATGGACAATAGTGGGACGAAGTCTGAGAACTGTAATGAATTTATACCGGAATCCTCTAAAGTTATGCAACGCGACGATACTTGCTAGCTAATTTTCGAAAAATGATAGAAAACCCTGTAAATTTCACAGAACCAGAAAATAGTCTTTGAACATTCAGGAATTACAGAGTGATCTGTTGAGAACTCCTTCGACTTTGATATTGGGCATGGTCCATACAAAATAAATATCCAGATGCAAAAGTGTGATAGATACTGAACAATAAGAATAGTAGAGTGAAGAAAATTTATGCGCAGAATTTAGACAATGTGTCAGGCTTTTACAAGATCGTACGGTAATTCTAGGGGATGTGGCCTTCGCCGGAGAGCTGGTACAAGGGCCAGAAAATCCTCTAAACAGATACTCCAGCAGGAGGCAAAGCTTAGATGGCCTGCTAGTGTACTTATTCCAGTTGAAGCTAGAGAATGCTGAACTAGAGACAGCGGAGCCCATGAAGTCTCAGAAAGAAGTGGTGATTTGCAAGGATAGGTCAAGTGGCAGTGGCACAGCCTTGATGGAGGATAGATGGTTATGGTGTGCAGTTGTAGCACAGCTGGAGGAATTGTCATATTGCAGCAAGGGTTATAATACAGTTAGGCTAGATTTGTGGCAATTGGAACGATATTAACTCCTATTTATTCATTTTTTATTTTCCATTTTGAAAAATCCGGGGATTCTCGCGCCGGAACAAGCGAGCCAGTGCTTTAACCTAGATGTCCAGTCAACTGCTGCGCCTTTTTTTATTTTAATAACTGGTTGGGAAGATGAATGAAAATAAAAGCACTTGAGTACGGAGTAGATCTTTTTGGAGTTTTCTATAATTTGAAAGCAAGAACTCCTTCCTTTTCCTCATTACTGTTGCCTTATGTCACGTGGTTAGTGATCTTGCATGAACAATGTGACCGTGGCACTTGGATCGCCTTGTGAGATTTAAGTTGGTCTAAATTTCTCAATTAAGAAACCTGGTGGGAGAATCCATACAAGAACTATAAGAGAACTGTAGAGAGTATATTAGATGTTCACTAATTGTTGGATGGTTGTGGTCTTGTGGATGAAGAGGATCGCCCCTTTGTATGGGAGTCTCTGCCAAAGAGTAGTCTAAATACGTAAGGAGTAACCTAGAATGTTCTCTAGGAATCTCTTTATGTACCTAGATAATTTTAGAAAACTAAGGGGATTTTATTGGGGAATATTTGTTGGGTTGTCTAGCAAGCACCAGCCCAGTGTCTCCTTGTGTAACATCCTAGTATCTTTAATTGCTAAATTTCAGAGTGTAAGCCTTAAATACAAGATTTTGTAAGTAAATCAAGTATTCTTAAAAGAGTCCAACAGCTGTAGCATTTATTAACTATCATATTTATAAGACAAGTAGCTTACAAAGCTACTTATAAACAAACAACATGTGCCACAAAAATCTCATGACAAAGCAAGCTAGTTATGAGTTGGCAAGGCTAGAAGCATGTGTTGGCAAAATTCATGATGACAAACAAGAGCTAGAAGCATGAGGTATCAAGATTTCTTTATATTAAGTATGAGGTGTCAAGATTCTCTTATCCTAAAAAATGAGGTGTTAAACTATCATAAGAGTACAATTTTGGGAGCAAGAAGAACAAGTAGCTAATGCAATGAATTTACCTATAAAAAGTGATTGAAGTGCTACCATTAGTTCCATACCAAAAATAAGAAATCTCTTTTTATACCTAATCAAGCTTGAAGATAGGAATTAAGGGAAAAGTTAGGCCTAATCAAGGTGAGTACGTTAGGAGATTTACTGGGATACATACATGCTATATATACATATAAATGCTTTATGCATGAAAGAGTATTGTCATATCTTCTTGTAAAAGTTATGTTATGATTATGTGGCAAAGTACACCTTTTATGTCATGATGCACATGTGGTATATGAAAGTTCTTATACATGTTAAGTATAACCATTTAAATATGTAACGTACGGGATATAGAAAGAAGGTACGTCTTTCAAACGGATCTTATTGGGCAGCCCTTATGTGGACCCGAGGTTAAAGAACCTGTGAGAAGTTGGTTTACTTAACATGTAATCATGAGATCTCAAAGAAATGTTTTTATACATGAAAGTTTATAAGAATTACTCTAACCATTTGGAAAGAATGTTTTATCATGAAACCATAACTACCGACTAAGCTTTTTGCTTAGGTATTCATGTATGTATCTTAGGAATCAAGGAGTAGGAACAAGCCGAAGTGTTGCTATTCTAAGATGTTAGAATATTATAAGATGTAAATTTCTGCATTTCTGTTGCATTATAATGAAATAGAAGTTTAAGATATGAAGTTTCTTTCATTCACTTGTACTAAGGGCAAAGGACGATACCCCCGGGAACGGGATGTTACAACTTGTGACACAGCTAGGCCAACCTCGCATGAACTAGCCAACTTCTGACACTGAACTATGATACCTTGAAGAGATTAAGGTAAAATAACGTGTTTCATTTCTAAGGGTAGAACCCTAAACATATCGCATCAGATGGGAGTTTAGGTCTTGACAGATCTAATATGAAGCATAGAAGTGCTACTACAGCTAATATAATGTATTCTTTAGGCTGGACGCTTTTGGAAAATGGAATATGATATGCAGGACGCTCTTCGAAGTAGGACTTCAATTGCTTTTTTCATTACATACAGCATTACACCAATAATATAGAGGCTGTACACTAGTTTGTATACCAGATAATGAGCCTGGGAATTTTAGAAGGATGTTGTTGATATATTCCCTCAGTAGAATGAGAACCTTGGGAAATGACCTCCTGACAAGTGTTTTTAAAAGGGAAAGTTGCATAAAAATAGAACCAACTTTGGGCTCATTCTTATTTTAGGGAATATAAACTTTCAAAATATTGATTTTGGGACTTGGAAGCAAACTTTGGAAACAATTTAGGGTCTCAACTACTTTTTTACCTGGAAAAACTTATTTGGCACAGGTTTATTCCATATGGAATGTGTGTATATATATATATATATATATTTATAATGTGTCTATATATATCTATCTTTAAAATGCCACATAACCGACACATGTCAATTAGATTAACACCAACAACGCATGTGTGGCCATTCATCTTCAACCTCCTAATTCCAAAACTTTCATTCACTGCACTTTCTTCAGACCCTAAACCCCTTTGTTACTTTATCTTCTGTTAGAAATCGAGGGTTCCTTGATCATGTACAACTGGATAAATCTATTGGATCGCGTAAAATTCTCTTTCCAAATTACAAATTCAACCCTATTAGCCGTGGGTATCACGAACTGAGTATTGGGATAATCCAATTATTACTCTGATTTTAAAGGCTGTGAAATTGAGTTCCTTGTATACTCCCAGATTCCATGTTTTACATACACATGGAAAAATTTGAATTTCCATGTATATTCTAATTTAAGTAAAAACTAACATGGAATTTGAATTTCCACGTATCTATCCATTATGTAAAAGAAATTGCCCAATCACTTGTAGGTAACCAGTTACAAGCTAAAGAGGTCATTGAGACCCTAGATTGCTTGTAAAGTTTGTTTCAAGACACTAAAATGAAGGTTTTCAAAGTTGGTTCCCCAAAAAATGAATGAACTCAAACTTGGTTCCATTTTATTGCAATTTACCCAAAAAATCTGTCACCTTCTGACAAGTTTCTAGGCTTTCTTGTGTATGGTAGAGGCGTTATTCTGTAATTAAAACCTGTCAGAAGGTCATGGATTTATTAAAAAAAGCCTGTCAAAAGGTCATTTAACAAAATGACCTCGTATACATAATCTTCTAGTGTTTATTATATGTTTTATGACAAGTTTCTACGCATTCTTGTGTCCTCTTTAATGACTGCCTCTATCTGTAAACTATACATCTCTATTTTTAAAGTCACATATCTGAGGTGGAAAAAGCATTTTATACACATATTTGCTTCTTACAATTTTTCCTGTTGTCAATTATGAAATTCAGGGAATAACTGGAGGCCCAATATTTGCTGGATCATCCTTATCTCATGTTCTGTATAACCAGGTAAACTTTTCCCTTCCTGTGCCATTCTATATGCCATTATAGTTTATACCCTATTCCTGTATTCATCCAAAATTTAGATATTGTCCATATGACATTGCGTTCGTGTGCATGTTCGATTCTATATTTGTAGTACCTGAGAGTTATATATAAGATGTTGTAGGTTTATTGTTAATGCTATTAAAAAATATTTCTATGGTTTCATCTGACAGGTGGTTGCATGCTCCAGAGACGGAAGTGTCTATTCGTTTAATCTGGTAAAATGACTTCTGCGGATTACTTCAAAAAAGAAAAAGAATTTAATGACAATAAATTGTCGTACCAACTTCAGTTGACTGTTTTTTAAGGGCCCTTTTATTAAATGACATTCTACCAAGTTTTTTCTATAAATCCACGACCTTTCGACAGGTTTGAAAATGTCACTGCTTAACAGAATAATGTCACTTCCATCATACACAAGAATACCTAGAAACCTGTCAGAAGGTCATTTAGCTAATAACCCACCCATTATTTAACCAACAAGCATACATCATTCATAGACTCTCTCTTTTTAGTACTGTTATTTTCTTCATAACATTAGTTTGGGACTGAACCTCGTTAAATTTCCCCAATTTTATACTTTGAATAATGACGATGACTGCAGGAGAAAGGAAATCTAGTATGGAAATGCGATTTGGGGGATCCAATTAGTTCATCTGCTTATGTAGATGAAAATTTGCAGTTGACATCTGATCATTCACTCATATCTGACCGGTAATTTGAGTTGAGTTCATTTATATGATGATTATAACGTGTTTTGATTACTTTTGACCTTGATTTCTGGCAACAGGTTAGTATGTGTTTGCACCAGTTCTGGAAGTATAGTCGTACTCCGAGTCAACAAAGAGCAAAATGCGGTGCAAAAGTTTGGTAGGATAGATGTTGAAGGAGGTATATTCTCTTCACCAGTGATGATTGGTGGCAGGATTTTTGTTGGTTGCAGGGATGATTATGTACACTGTATTGGAATCAATGGTCAATTACAATTTAACCAATGATGCTTTTCTTCTTTGATCCCTACTTGGAAAGAGATTTTGCAAACTGGAGTCCGTAGATCATGTAACCATACCAACTAAACCCAATATGCCCCACGTAGCGGTGGGGTCTGGGGAGGATGGGATGTGCACAAACCTGACCTATACATCGAAGAGTAGAGTGGTTGTTTATGTGATTGATTACCTTAATCGGGCCTCATGCGGTTTTCATTTTTCAGGAATTAAAGTGTTAATTATCTTTATACAGATGTCCATGCTTGGGTGTTTCATTCTCTTGTATAAATATATATAGTTCTTATCTCTGTGTGTATTCATATAATAAACATTGTCAAATGACTATCTACATTATCTTAAGAGTAAATCACACCAATGGTTCTTGTGCTTTCTTGCAACACTAGCTATTTCCATTTCTTGGAAAAAATTACATTAGTGCCCCCAAAGTATTAATTTGTTTTCATGGATGTAGTTAACTAAGGGGTATTTTGGTATTTTTATCATTTTCGTTTAAATTCTATAGAAAGATTATAAACCAATATCAATTGTACATCTAGTGACAAAAATCGGGTTTTATAAATATATGATTGTTTTTGATATAAAGTGTTTAATCATAATTAATGAATTTTAATCATTTTTTATAAATATTCACATCATAATAAATATCTTAATTGATTGGGTTTTATATTTTGTAACTTTTTTCATGGTTGTATTTGATATGTACCCTCTCTCTCTCTCTCTCTCTCTATATATATATATATATATATATATAATTTCAAATGAGAAGCATCAAATATAGGAAAAAGGAAGAAGTTGTCATAGCCTTTTTACTATTGGCCTAACAGTATCATAGTCTTTGGCCTCTTAGGAAGTCAAGGGTTCAAACATCACTAAAGGTGAGAAAGGTGTGTGAGTTTATTTGTTGTTTTTGTCGTATGTAAGTATTATATACTTCCAAAAAAAAACAAAAAAAACCTTAACGGTCAAGATTTGAGAGGGTAATTGTGAAGTACCAGATAATTTGGTTGCATGATAGCAATTATGTTGAAGATAAATGGTTAGTTTTATAACTTTTACAACTACAACAAATAGGCTGTAAACAAGTAATGATATGCGCATATGCGAATCCGTGTTATTCATATATTAACTATATGTACATATGTGAACTTGTGTGATATATGAACTATATGTATAGATGTGAACCCTCGTGGTTTACATATGAACTATTTAACTTATTCATATATGAATTATATGAATTTACTAGACAATCACAAAATGAAATAGTAATGCATATATGAAACCGATTTAGTTCATATGTAATTCACTTTGAAGGGACTGTTCCCTAGATACATACGTTGTGACATTTTATTTCACAATTGAATTTTCGTTGTTATGTGCATAAGCCAATTGATTCACATATGAACTATTTATGTGCATATATGAAGCCAATTGATTCACATATGAACTATTTATGTGCATATGTGAACCCAAATGATTCACATATGAACTACATATATGGAATTGTGATTTGACCCGTCGTTTTTCGGTAACCGTGTTCGAACATATTTAATGGCGATGAAGGCGAACGAGAGGCCCTGAGAGACCTGTATGTTGCAGACTACTGGAAAAGGGATGAAACGGTAAAGGAATGAACTGTGACCCAAGGAAGAGGAGGATGGAAGCGGTGCAGATCCCAACAACGACGATTGGGAGAGAATGAGAAGTGGGGATTCGGAGATAGTGATGGCAGCGATGGACTTCACGATGCATTATGCTAATTACCATATTACCCTTCATTTAATAAAATTTGATCATTTAATCTAACCGCTATGATGACTTCTCTCTTTCTCATATATTTGATGCCTCTCATTTGAACCCCCCCCCCTCTCTCTCTCTCTCTCTCTCTCTCTATATATATATATATATATATATATAGAGAGAGAGAGAGAGAGAGAGAGAGAGAAAGATAGGGACAAGTTCAAATGAAAACCGAGTTTCAATTGTGAACGGGGCCAAAAGAGAGCGCGACACGTGTCCCCTGCGTCTATGGGTTATTCATCATGAATAATGATGAATATGTATTATTCTTCACAAATAATGAATCAATTTAACATGGATCATGATTGTTGTATTATTCTTCATGAATGTTGTATCATTCATCATGAATAGTTCATGAATTTCACTTTCGTTATTCATACTGAATGTGGACGTCGACACATATGTCGCTCTCTCCTTTATCCCCCTGTTTTATAGCTGAAAATAGGTTTGCAACTGAACTTCTCTCTCTCTCTCTCTCTCTCTCTCTATATATATATATATATATATATATATAGTTGAGTTTTGGTGAGAAAGGTAAGAAATGATTTTCACTTTTAGATCAATCTTAGTTGAAGATCAACACTAATGAGATGCATCACATTAATCCTTGTGAGGACAATTCTTGAGGGGGTGAGATTAAAAGTGATCAAGGGTCAAGATCATTTCCTATACTTCTCACTCTAACTCCTATTCTAACACAATCCTTCATGTGTGTATATAGGTGAAGGATCATGTGAGAAGGGAAGTCATAATGAGAAGCATAAAAAGAGATATAAACCCTTGATTGTTTTTAATCTCATATTCATCCATGAATTATGTTTTAGAAGGGAATTGATCAGATGTATCTCCGTACACCTTAAAAATTATTCCTATTGTAATCAATACTGCAGACTTTTTTTGGTTCCTTTGTTCATCAATGGCGGGTTTGAATGAGACATCTGTTGTAGAGTGTCTTTAATTACATTGAAACTCATGCTGCGACATTTTTGAGAGTGATGAATCATTTTTATCTTCTTGTGTGTCGCCTGTTGTTGTTAACCAGAACAAGTGTTCCAATGCGCAGGTTAATGGTGTTGGGTCGAGTAATTTGTTGCATAATTCTGATGGTGTTCATTTGCTCACAAATGAATCTGATGGTGTTCATAATTCGCTCACAAATGAATCTGATGGTTTTTTTTTTTTTTTTGTACTTGTTAATGTTAACCGTTTAATTATGGAATTTTTTATATTATTTTTTCTGTAAAGAATCTAATCGATACATCAGTCATATTTGTTTGCGTTTGTTCATCAATGGCGGGTTCAAATGCGACTCCCGTTGATGATCTGTGTTTTCATTAAATGAAACATATGAAATCATGAGTTTTTTTTCCATTAATGAAACCAAAAAATCTTGAAACCATGAGTTATTTTTCTCTATTAATGAAACCAATAAATCTTAAAACCATTTTATGGAACTACGAAATCATGAGGTTTTTTTTTTCATTCATGAAATCATGAGTATTCATTTGATGAAAGTATGGAAACATGAAATCATGGAAAAAAATCCATATATTTTTTTGTAATAGGTTTCTTAACCGATTTATAGGATTTGATTTTAAGACGCGTGAATCACATGTAATTTTACACATGATTTAGAGTTTGTAACATATAGGTGGTTTTTATTTGATTTACCTATATATATATATAGAGAGAGAGAGAGAGAGAGAGAGAGAGAGAGAAAGTGTGTCATATGAGAACAATAACTAAATAAGATAATAAAAAAAACGATTGAATTACATGTAATTTATCCATTTTTTTAGTGTAAAATCACATATGATTCGACTAGTTTCTTATTATCTTATTTCATATGACACACTCTCTCTCTCTCTCTCTCTCTCTATATATATATATATATATATAGGGAAGGGTTCAAACGAGAACCCCTGTGATTTACGAAAACGCGAGAACAACTCAATAACCACATATTGTGATAAAAAATAAAATTAAAAGATTTTTAAAATTAAAATTAAAATTTAAAATGATTCAAAAAAATTTAAAATTAAAAGGGTAATAATGGAAATGATATATTATCTAGAAAACGGTTAGAATCTTTTAAACTTATCATTAAACACAATCAGAATCTTTTAAACTTATCATTAAACACAATCAAAATCTTTTAAACTTATCATTATCATCTACAAAATGGTTACGATTACAAGTCTAACTTCAAATCGCAAGAACTACGGAYGGCGACGGTGTTGATYGACGGTGACCAACCAAGAACACACAACCGTAATCGACCAAGAACCTTAATCGAGAAGCCATTGCATGCAACAAGCAACCCTAATCATGTGATAATCATGTGATATGAGTGTGATAATCATGTGATAGGGGTGTGATAATCACAGTTATACATCACTTGGATTATCGTTTTGGTTGATAAGTTAAATTTTTGGTGTAATCATGTTATATGAGTGTGATAATCATGTGATAATCATCGTTATACA